CCCGATTCCGGAGGGGGGGCCAGCGAATGGCGGCCTTTTCCCTGGGGTTCCCTTGTTTTTTTTTCCCCGTGCTTGCTCGCTTGGCCATTTTGCTCGCTGACCATCTGTGGCTGTGCGCGGGGGCCCGGCCCCGGGCCAGGGAGCTGAGCAGCGCCACCCTGGGGGGCCCACCGTGAGCGGCAGCCAGTGCCTCCTCGTGCGGTGCTGCCACTGCTGCCGCCGCCCGGCGAGCCCAGTGCGCCCCCAGGCACCTGCGGTCCCCGATACAGCAACCTGACCAAAGCCGCCCCCGCCGCGGGTCCCGGGCTGGACTGCAGCGGCATCCCAGAGCCCTCGGGGCTGGACGCAGCTTGCACCAAATTTCAATCTTTGCAGAGATTTTTCGAACCGACTACCCCAGCCCCACCTCTGCGGCCCCCTGACTCCCCTTCCCGTGCTCCGGCCGAGTTCCCCTCCGCCCAAAAAAACTTGCTCAAAGGCCACTTTCGGAACTTCACTCTCTCCTTTTGCGACACCTACACGGTTTGGGACTTGCTGCTGGGCATGGACCGTCCCGACAGCCTGGACTGCAGCCTGGACACCCTGCTGGGGGACCTGCTGGCCATAGTGGCCAGCCCGGGCTCCGGGGCCTGGGAGGTGTGTAGCAACTGTATCGAGGCGTACCAGCGGCTTGACCGACATGCTCAGGAAAAATATGACGAGTTCGACCTCGTGCTGCATAAATACTTACAGGCGGAAGAGTACTCAATTCGGTCCTGCACAAAAGGCTGTAAGGTAGGGACTGGCATCCGTGGCCACGAGGCGGGAGCAGTGGCGGTGGGCCCGAGAAAAAAAAAAAAAAAAAGGTCTCCCCCTCTGCCCACCACACCTCCTCCCAATACCCCTACCTTTCAAGCTCTGCTTTGGAACCCCCCCTGGAGGAGCCTCAGGGATTCAGGTCAGGTCACCACCTGGCCAACTTCTATTAATTCCAGGTTTGGGCAAGGTCTGACTGGGGCCTCCTGGCGCCCCGCCCCGCTTGAGGAGGGAGGGCTCTTGGGGCCCTTGTCTGGCAAAGGGGTGGAAGAGGGATCTGGCCTCAATCTTCAGCCATAGGTACCCTCTTTCCTGGGCTGGAATTGAAAGTCTTGGGAGTGGCTGGTGCAGGGGGAAGGCCAAAGGTGGAAGAAAGAATATTTGGCAACCTAGCCCTCATCCTTTGGCCCCTGGGAATGGGCTAGAGGAGGGGCACCCCTGCTGGTGGGGCACAACACACTGTTGACCTTATGTGACCTGAGGTGGCCGGTCAGAACCTAGGTAGGCGGAGCCTGTCTTCTCCCAAGGAGAATCTCCTTGCCAACTCCTCTTCCCTGACAAAAGGAGCTGGAAACAGAGCACAGCGACTTGTGGGAGGGACACTGAAGATTGGTGCATTACCAAGCTCCCAGTGCTTTCCCAGCACCCTGGGGTGGCAGAGGGGGGACAGCTGGCTTTCTGGCTTATGGGAACAGGAATCCAGAGGAGAGGCATAGCTGCTGCAGAATGAGCCTGCCTAGGGCAGAGCTGAGTTGAGAAACTTCTTGACCCTCAGCAGGGTAGTTCTGGGCAGTAGTTGTATGGGGGCTGGAAACATTGGTGACATCATGCTACTGCCTTGTTGGCTCAACCTGGCCAGGTGGTCTGCCTTTGGGAGGAAAGAGAACAGCAAGGTCAAAGGGTCAAGTGATAAGGAGATAGGGTGGGGTGGTGGCCTCACCCATCCTCAAGCAGGGACTGAGGGGAGTGGGGGAGAGACTGGGAGCTGTAAAGGGAGATGGTTGCCTCTTAGTCTAGCTTGTCTCCTACCAAGGCTTTAGAGAGGGTCAGAAAGTGCCCCTTTCCATCCAATGTGACCCCTGTGGACTTCAGTAGGATTCCATGCTCTTGGTGGGCTCCTTATATGGTTGGGTAGGAAAGGGGTAGCTCCTTGCTTCTGACTTCACTTTCTCATTCTCCTTTTCCGTTTTCTCGTAACCTACCTGTCTTTCTCCCGCCTCCCTCAGCCTCAGCTGACTCACTGTCTCACTGTCTCACTCACACTACCAAATGAGATATTTCATTTCTTAAAGGTGTACACACACACACACACACACACACACAGTCATACACCACCACCACTACCCCAGGCAAAGTCACACAGATATAGAGAGTTTGTCACACCAGACAGTGCCATAGAAGCAGACACCCACACGTACATCTCCCCACCATGTTAGAGACACAAAGGCAGAAGTCCTATCACATGAAGAAGGACACATTTTGTCATAAAGAGATAGAGACATACATACACTCAGTGGGAATAGATGGATATGATCTAATAGTAGAAGGAATATAGAATGTGTGTCTTTTGTGGCCCTCAATTCAACCTCGTGGCCCCAACTTTTCCTTTTCTTCAATCACCAGGATGAATGAGAGACCATGCCACAACTTTCCCATAGGTTATCCCCATGTTATAATTGGCTTCAAGCTGTGTCTGATCCCACAGTATATAATAATCACTCATGTTGATTATTTTTACCAGGCAGTTTGGTATAGGAGAAAGACCACTGATCTCCAGGATTTAGGCCTTATCAGCCTCTACCACTTGTTAACAGAGTGACCTTGGGCATGTCACTTCACTTTAAGCTTTCATTTGCTCAGTTGTAAAACAGGGATAATCCTTGCTCTGCCCACATTCTGAGTCTTTTGTGTGAGATTCAAGTAGGAAGAGAGGTAGCTGATCGTATTTTAAAATAATAATATAACATCCAACATTGTTCTCCCATATATTATGAGATCACAACTGCCCAAGGAGACTGGTAATATCAGCACCATTATCCCCATTTCACAGATGAGGAAACTGAGGTGCAGGGGGATCAAGCAGCTTGCCCTAAGGTTTCTCAGCTAATGAGCAGGAGTGCCAGGCCTCCAACTCACATGCTCTGTTGCTAAGCCCATGTGTTTTCCAGTGTCTCCCATCAAGTTCCCAGTGGCCAGGGTGCTCCCTCCTCTGCTATTTCTCCTTGTCTGTCGCTGTTGCTCTCCCTCTCTTGCTCTCCCTCTCAAGCGAACTCTGCCTGCTCTCTTGCTGCCTGCTGTGCCAGGAGAAGGGCAGTGCCAGCTCTATAGCTTTCTTCCTGTCTTTCCCACCCCTTTCCAATGCTCTCTCCCTCAACTGAGGCCTAGACCTAAAGGGCTCTTGATTCCGGCTGTATTATGGGCACTCCTTTTCCCTGCAGTCCCTCTCTCTTCACCTTATCACACCACTTGTATCCCAGGCCTTTTCTGCCGATCCCTGATCCTACCCCCAGGCTCCAAGCCTACCTGTTCAGCTCCTACCCCAAATGGGATCCCTTGGAGATGATGAACATCCTTAAAGCTTCTCCAGGGTGGAGGGCCCACAGCCCCAGGCCAGGATGAGGGGGCTTCCTCTATTTCTGGAAGCCAAGTCTGAACCTGCTTCAGGGCCAGGTGACCCCCATCCCTGGGACCCTGTCTTAAGTGTCTCAGATCTTTCCTGGGAAGCCCCCAGAAACCCTCTTCTCTCCCTTTGCAATGTCTGCCCCTGTTTTGGGCCCCACAGGGCCCCACAAATCATACCTGTCCTCACTGCTGCTGCTTGTGACACCTCCCAATTTAGTACCAGTTGCAACATTTCCTTAATGTGAGACTTACTTCCTCTCACACAGCAGGGCGATGTTAACTGAGGCAGGCCATGCCTATCCCCACCCTGGCCTCTCCCAACCCCAGGGGCCATGCTCCACCCCCTAATCTCCTTATGCACACCCCAAAACACTTACCTCCCCATCTCCTTGGCCCTTCTGGCCCTGCCTAGGGTTACTGGACAGCCACCTCACTTCCCACAGCTCTCCATCCTCCCGTCCCTGCCATGCCCCTGCCTGGTTCTGATTGCCTCTTCCCCCACCTCTGTCCTTCCCTTCTCTAATTCAGGGGTTGATGGCAGTGGTGGAGATAGGAAAAATCTCTGGCCTCTTCTCTCATAGCTCTGATCCGAGAGGGGCTAGAAATTCAAGAGAAGGATAGTTCTCAGCTTTCTTACAGTCATTTGATGACAACAGTAAAGGTTAGTGCCAAGGAAGGATGTGATAGTTCTACTCTGTTCTGAACTGGCCCAAACCCACCTGGAAGACCATGTGTTTGGTTCTGGGTCATACACTGAGCAGGTCTAGAGGAGGCTGGAACCCAAGTTCTCCTGAACAGAGTTGAAGAAGCTGTTTCACCTGGAGAAGAGGACACTCAGAAGGCTGTGGTTTCTGCTTTCAAACTTCTGAAGAATTGTCATGGTGCAAAAGAAGAGGCATGTCCTACTTAGCCCCAGGGGCACTTCGTAGTTAGAAAGTCCTGGGTTCAGACCCTGCTCTTTCATTTATTATCTATGTGACCTTGAGCTAGGGACTTTTTTCCTCAAAGCCTCACTTTTCTCATCTGTAAAATGAATCTCAACCCTGTGAGGTCATTATTAATGAGAAGTCCACAACGGTACCTAGGCACAGCAGAGTTACTCAGTTAACAGGTATTTTTTCTTCAAAGAGGGACCAGACTGTGTGAGCTCCTATTCTCCAGGAAATGTCTAGCCTAATTCAGTCAGACCCCTAGAAGAAATGCTGTGGAAATAACTCTAATTCCAGATTATGGAGAGAGTTGGACTAAGTGACCTCTGAGGTCTGTTTCAGCCGAGTTAAGGCCCATGAGCTGAGCCTGCTCCATGAACACCCTGAATGGGAAGGGCTGGGGCAGGAAGCCTAACACCCACACACAGTAGGGAGGGTCTGCCAGATCCAGTGCCTTGCCTTCTGTCCATACCCTTTGGGGTCTTGCTCTTCCTCCACTCTGGCTGGCAGCTGTTTCTGCCTCGCTGCCTTCCTCTCTTCTCTGATGTGCCACAGCTTTCCTGCCAAGCAGGACTTCTGGGCTAACGCTGGTGCTGAGAGCAGGGGGCTCAGGGTGCTGGGCAAAGAGCAGGCATCCCAAGTTGGCCAGTGGTCCCTGTTGTCACCCAAGCTCACAGGCGGGGACTAGTGCCCACAGTAAGCCTCCCCAACCCAGGGTTCTTGTGGGCAGAGAAGGTGCCCTGGTCCCTGTTTGGGGGTGGAGGAAGGGGGCGGCAGTCAAGAAGCTGCCTCCTGGGGACCATGGCAAAGCCTCCTGTGGGGAGGGGCCTCTAGATTCACAGAAGCGTACTGCCCAGGAATTTGAGCCTTGGGTTTTCTAGAAGGTGCAAGGACAGAAAAGAGGCAATGTTTATAGCTCAGACAAGGATACAGTGGGTCAAGCAAGGGACTGGGAAAGTGGCCCCATGCTACCCATGCCTCTCCAGGCATCTGACCCAATCCTGACCCCCCACTATTACCCCTCATATTCCTCTTAAATTTTCACCCACACTCAACACCTCCCATCCACATACCAGTGATCCCACAACCTTCCCAATCTTCTACTCAAAGATCATCCTAGACAAGCATGTCAAACTTGTGGCCAGTGGGGCACATGCCTCGTTTAAATCCAAACCACATCCCACATCTCACTCTCTAGTCCTTACCCCTACACCTACACTCCTCCTACCCCCACTCTTCACAATTGTTATTCCTTCCCTCCCCCCTCCCTGCCCCCTCCTCTTGACCCTTTCCCATTTCCCATCCCTCTCCACTCCTTTCATCTCCCACCTCTTCCTCACACCCCTCCCAACCTTACCACAAGCCCTTACCCCCAACTTTCCTGGCACTGCACCTCTTTCCCTTGACACCTACATGCCTCCTCACCCC